CCTGCATGCTTCAGGCTTTCAGGACTTGAATGGCGGTCAAATTTGTGACACAGAAATTAGAATAAAGAGTCCTTTGCAGAACTATTTACAGTTCCTTCTCTCTTAAGCACAGGTCTTGCCTTAGAACTGGTCTGAGGATGATCATGGAATTACAGAGTGAACCTTTAGAGGTCATCTAGTCCAATTCCCTGTGGAGAGCAGGGACATCTTTAACTAGATCAGGTTGCTCTGAGCCCCATCAAGCCTGACCTTTAATGTCTCCAGGGATGAGGCCTCCACCACCTCACTGGGCAACCTGTTCCAGTGTTTCACTACCCTCACAGTAAAGAATTTCTTCCTAATGTCTAATCTAAATCTACCCTGCTCTGGTTTATGACCATTTCCCCCCTCATCCTATTGTTACACATGCTTGCAAACAGTCCCTCTCCGGCTTTCTTGTAAGCTTCCTTCAGGTGCTGGAAGGCTGCTGTAAGGTCTCCCTGGAGCCTTCTCTTCTCCAGGCTGAACCCCCCAACTCTCTCAGCGTGTTTTCATAGGAGAGGTGCTTCAGCCCTCAGATCATTTTTGTGGCCCTCCTCTGGACCCACTCCGATAGTTTCATGTCCTCCTTGTGTTGAGGGCTCCAAAGCTGGACACAGCACTCCAAGTGAGGTCTTGCCAGAACAGAGTAGAGGAGCAGAATCGCCTCCCTCGACCTGCTGGCCATGCTTCTTTAGATGCAACCCAGGATACAGTTGGCTCTCTGGGCTGCAAGTGTACATTGCTGGGTCATGTTAAGCTTCTCATCAACCAGCAGCCCCAAGTCCTTCTCCTCAGGGCTGCTTTAAATCTGTTCTCCACCCAACCTGTGTTTGTGCTTGAGATTGCCCTGATCCATGTGCCATGTTGGCTGTCACAAATCACCTCCTTATTTCCCATGTGCCTTAGCATAGTTTCCAGGAGGATCTGCTCCATAATCTTGCTGGGCACAGAGGTGAAACTGACTGGCAGTTCCCCAGGTATTCCTTTTTTTCCTTTTTAAAAATGGGGGGTTATGTTTCCCCTTTCCAGTAAATGGGAACTGCACCAGACTACCACAACTTCTCAAACATGATGGATAGAGGCTTAGCAGCTTCAACCGCCACTTCCCTTGGGACCTGTGGATTCATCTCATTAGGTCCCATGGACTTGTGCACCATCAGGGTCCTTAGGTGGTCTCAAACTCAACCTTCCTCTGTAGTGGGCAGTTCTTCATTCTCCCAGTCCCTACCTTTGCCTTCTGCAGCTTGTGTGGTGTGGCTTGAACACCTGCCCGTGAAGACTCGGGTAAAAATGTCATTGAATACCTAAGCCTTCTCTATATCCTGGATAACCAGGTTCCCTGTTTCTTTCCAGAGAGGGCCTGCATTTTCCCTAATCTTCCTTTTATCACTGGCATACCTATAGAAGATTTTCTTGTTGCCTTTGACAGCCCTGGCCAGATTTAGGGCGGAACAGAGTTGCTGTAATTTTAAACAAAATAGCTTTCAGCTTCTTTAAGCTTGTCTGTGAAGATAGTGCTTAATTCCAGGCTAAATTGTCAGAAGCGAAGAAGCCCAGATGCACAGGTGAAGAAAAAGTGGATAAATGAGTGGGTGAAAACTCCTGTTAACACTGCTCACTGTAGTCCTTGAACACCTGGACATGTGAAGCAATAGAAACAAGTCAGCTAAGTAACTCTGTCTTTCACATCCACATAGTAACTGCATGTTCATGCATTCTTATGATTTCAGTAAATAGGGTGGCTGACATAAAAGGCAATAAATTGAAATTGGAATGGGTGAGTTACGCCTCTGGTTTTGGCCTATGTCAAATATAGATTTTACACAGCTGATACTGAAGATACCAGAAACTTATTTTTTGTTTGTCCTTCAGCTGCAAGAGAATGTGTCATTGCACTTTTTGTTACTCTCAGGGAGGAGTGCCTGTAGGCCTGGCACCTAAGCCATTACAGATCCTTTATGGGCATACTGATGAAGTTTCAAGTGTTGGCATCAGCACTGAACTGGATATGGCAGTGTCAGGATCCAGGGTACGTATCCTTGTACTTTACCTTTCTTTGCCTCTTCTCTACTCAAGCCACAGAGTATGTTTGAAGTTGACTAAGAATAATACAGAAATGACTATTTCACAATTTTTTTGTCTTTAGCTTTGCACGTCAATAAGATACATGCCATCTCCCTTGCTGCTTGCATAAATCAGACTGTCTCAAGCTGGTTTGCACAGTATAGGCCTCAGCTACCATACTGTGTTATTCTGCACAGATGAGCTTTAATGTGTGTGGATATATTTGGAGATCTTAGTTTCTCATTGAAACAATTCTGTGACAGTTTCTTCCCTGCTTCCTTAACCTTTAAGGTTTTGTGCAGCTTACTTATGCTCTGCATTACTGTACTATACTGGCAGACTGCTGAACTCTGACTCTGTACTACACATAATACCTACTCATAAATATGACCTATGATGAAATGGCTAATTTGCTGCCTGTCCTTCCCCTCTTGCCCAGTTTGCATTTGTTTTTTCATATGTCTACAGTACATGGCCTTGAGGCAAAGGCTTCTTTGTGCAGTGTTCCTAATGCTCAAGAGTCTTGATCTCCAGTTAAGGATTTAAGTGATTTGAAAATATTCCCTCTGTATTTAAATACTCTTTCTATGTGTTGCGGTAACATACCTGCTGAGTAACAACTCCCTAAATTTGGTTGCTACAGGATGGGACCATTATTGTCCGCACTATTCGGAAAGGTCAGTATGTGAGGACTTTGCGACCACCTTGTGAGAGTTCTCTCCTGCTGACTGTTCCCAATCTAGCTGTGTCCTGGGAAGGCCATATAGTTGTCCACACCAGCATAGAAGGAAAGACTACTCTTAAGGTACTTACGTTCATGGAATACCTCTGTTTCTTTTACTGAAGACTTTAATCATAAATGTAACTAACTTTATCCTTATTTCCTAAAGTAATGAGGCTTTTTGAGCATGCTGTGTCTCTTTCCTTATTTTTTTATTTTGCTAGCCAATTTGAGTGAAATTTGATTAAAAGATAAATCACAGGCATACTGCGCTCCTGTAAGTTTCATGAAAATCCCCAAACACCTGCAAGGAAGATGCCCAAGCATGTGCTAATGAACCTGCCTGGGAGGGTTGCTTTTGTGTTCAGTTCTGGGCCCCTCAGTTCAAGAAGGACAGGGAATTGCTTGAAAGAGTCCAGTGCAGAGCCACAAAGATGATTGAGGGAGTGGAGCATCTCCCTTATGAGGAGCAGCTGAGGGAGCTGAGTCTCTTTAGCTTGGAGGAGACTGAGGGGTGACCTCCATTCATGTTTATCAATTTGTAAAGGACAAGTGTCAGGAGGAAGGAGCCAGGCTCTTCTCTCTGATGTCCAATAACAGGACAAGGGGAAATGGGTGCAAGCTGGAGCATAGGAGGTTCAATCTGAACATGAGGAAAAACTTCTTCACTGTGAGGGTGCCAGAGCACTGGAACAGGCTGCCCAGAGAGGTTGTGGAGTCTCCTTCTCTGGAGACATTCAAAACCCGCCTGGACGCGTTTCTGTGTGACCTGGTCTAGGTGATCCTGCTCTGGCAGGGGAGTTGGACTGGGTGATCTTTCGAGGTCCCTTCCAACTCCTAATATTCTGTGATTCTGTGAAACGCAAAACTAGGGGATACAGATTCCTCTGTGCACAGAAACAGAGGCTTATAAGGGGAGCAGTGAGTTCTGGGTGCAAGATGCCCAGTGACTACACTGATATTTCTTAAGAGATAGCTATAAGGTTCACGGTGTATCTTATTCTGTCTATTTGGTAGCGGTGTAGTTGCTTTAATGAGGGTATAGCTGTTATGATTTCTATGAGCATGGGAAATATCTTGGAAGACAAATTTATTGGATGTAGGTGTGCTACCTGCATTGAGAAAATGAGGAGACAAGATGTCAAGGTATTGTCAGGCTGGAAGAACTTAAAATGGTCATGTTAAGTGCATCTTTCAGTCTGTCAGGAATTCATTGCCATGTCCCGAAAATGCTTCTAGATTTAGCTCTGTGGAGATACACCTATTTCCTTCTGCTTTTCAATTTGGAGTGGTGGGGGAGGGAGGTTAGGCAGCAGGGCTGAAGATAAGAGTGCTCTCTTCCTTTCTTCTTTCTTAAAAAAAAACAAAACCACCTTATAAAATAGGAAACTGTCCATTAAATCCTTAGATGTTTCCAGAAAATTGATTAGTTGGATAGGTTAGACATTACCATGTTATGTCAAGAGGTAACAAGGAATAACTTCAAAAATTTCCATACGGGACCTGGTATTACATACGCTTTGCATATAGGCTTGGTGCTCTTGTATCTATCATTCAACAAGGAAGCTTGTCAATGATATTAGCTGTGGGTTATTGTCCAAGTTAGCTCCTGTTAGTAAACTAAAGATACAAATAATACATCCTTAATGCAGTGAGTCCTCTGTGACAGATTTATTTTTGATCTATGCAGGATAAGAATGCATTACATCTCTATTCTGTCAATGGAAAATATCTGGGTTCTGAGACACTGAAGGAGGAAGTGTCAGATATGTGTGTGACTGGCGAGTATATCGTGATGGGCAGCTTACAGGGATTTCTTTCCATACGGGATCTCTACAGGTAATGTATCGCTATCAGTAGTTTATTACTGAGAAGCAAATATAAAGGCTTACTGAGAAATGGCTGTGTACAGTGGACTTTGCATGGTGCTGTAGGTGGTAGCCATTGCTTTCCTCTGTGTTCCTGAAAGAACTCTTATGGGGGGAACTAAGATAAGGAGAAAAGAAAAATGAAATGCTGCAACAGACCCCTTTCTTCACAGGCATTTTTCCCAGTTATACATCTAGAATTGGCAGAATTTAGGAAGAGTCTGATTTCTGCAAGCTGTGATTGTCCCCATGTCTATTTAGTCACTGAGAGCTCAGCAACTGCAGGATCAAGCCTTGTGTAGTTCTGCATTGATTTCAAACTCCAGTTACTGCTATGCTCTAGATTTCCATTGCTTCTCAGAATGGGAGTGATCTTTGTCACTTAAGCAGCTATGGGACAAATGTTACTGTTCCTCAGTGAAAATGTCTGAATTTACTGACTTACCTATCCATGCCCTTTCCTTGTTATTGGAGCTCTATTCTGGGGTATGACTAGATTTTCCTAGAAGTTTATAATAATTGATATTGCAGACTGAATCCATGAGAAACTGTTTTGAAGTGCATCCTGTGAACAGCAATTTTGACTGTGGTGTGATTCTTTGCAGTATGTACAAACGAATACATAATATGCTTTCTCTCTGTGGTTTTTGTTCATTTCAGCCTCAGTCTGAGCATCTCTCCCTTAGCCATGCGACTGCCAATCCATTGCATTTCTGTCACCAAAGAGTATAGCCACATCCTAGTTGGCTTGGAGGACGGCAAGTTGATTATCGTTGGTGTTGGCAAGCCAGCAGAGGTAAAACCTGCCATCAAGAACTTTTTCTACCGAACAGTGGGAAGTTCACTTATTTCTGCTTTCCAGTTGAGCAAGAGGTCGCCTCTATGGCAGGGTAAATTTAAGAGCAAGTTTCAGTTTTCAGTGGGAAAGAAATAACTTTTGAGACTACTCTACTGAAATTTCCCATTGTAAGAATCAAAGGTGTATGGGGATCGCAGATGGGAAGCTCAGCTGGACTAACTTCCAGACTATATCATTCGATCTGAATAAGCAAAGTCATAGTAGCTAACCTTTTCTGAACGTGATAGTGTTGTCAGCCACTTCTCGATGAAGTAGTTTTCCAGAAGAAAATTGGAAATAAAAGAGAGCAAGCTACCTTCTTTCTTATGTTTTCTGTCAGATATCTTTTAATATGCATTGACTGACACTGGGGAAAAAATATTACCTCTTTCTGTTAAGAGTCTTTAATTGCAATGCACAAAGAATCACTTGTGTAGGTTCCCAATATGCTCTGTGCTCCATATGGAGAATATAAACTTGTTAGTACTGCATATGCAATATCAAATACAGAGCATCTATCTGTCAAATAGCTGTGCCCAATTTTTCTTGTGCAAAACATAGGTTTTACTTCAAGTACTTCTTGTCATGACTTTTCAAGTACTTGAGTTAGCTTTAACCCACTTCTTTTTAGAGGTCAATCTCTGTTGTGCTACAATGAATTAATTTATCTGGAAATGTGACTATCACTTTTGCATGACCTTTAATATGTGCCAGAAAAGTGTGTTTTAATTTAATTTTATATTTGGACTGTGAAAACAGAGTGACTTTATTTGCCAGTATTTTAAAATGTTTTAGCTAGGAGATATAGTTTAATAGTTGAAACAGGCTTCACACAATGGTAGTCTGATTTTGCTTGCAGTGGGTGGGGAAGGGAGGTTTCCACTGACTTCCAGTTGGACATCTTTTTCCTACTGTAGAATTGACAAAGAGCTGTTTATGATGTAGTTAAACATATGTTTGTAACAGCACTTTTAAAGTCACTGTCATTTCTAAGCTTCCTATTCCATAGAAAAAATCTTTTGTAGGCTGAAATGTATGTATCTCGTTAGACTGAAGGCTTATTGGTTTTGTTGGGTTAGGTTGTTGTTTTCAGTTCTTAATCACATCTATTTTTCTAAGTATGGAGAAAGTGGTGTTTCAAAGACTGGATTCGTCAAATGAATATAGAGACTTTCCAATGATTATTTTTCTCCTGAGATTTTCTGTTTATAATTCAGATGATCTGCAAGCTTAATATCCATGTAAATAGATTGTTTTAAACACACACATAAGTAATAACATTACGCCCCAAATTTTCTAGTTTTCTATAATGGCATCAGTCAATATATTTGAAAAGCGTGTGTATGTGGGATATTTATTTATTGCTTGATTTATTTTTAGTTTGGAAGGAATATATTAATTACTGGAATTTTATCCTTATACAGAAGATGGTGGTGTAGTTCTAGCTTTCGGTGGTGATACTGATCCTTAAGATAAGGGGAGAGACTGACCTTCTTTATTGTGCATAAAGTGAAATGCTGCTTGGTATTAAGATTGGCCTTTAGTGTTTCTGCATTGGCAGTATTCAGTATGAAGTGAAGTAAAATAAATGTTTCTGTACTTTTTAACAATTACTTACCAGTTTGGGATGTTGCAGAAGTTGGGGATTATCACCTGTTAGTGTTAATCCCTGTCAACTCTGTGCCTTTTCTGTAACACTGCTGCTGTGCTTAAAAATGCTTAATTTGTACTATGAACTGCTGGGAACTGTTCTGAAACTTGTGCTGTTAAGGCATGTATCAAGTTTATTAAATGGCAAGGGACTTCATAACCTAATCAGCTGCTAGGGTGATCACTGCTGGCCAATCACAAACCTTGTACTTGTGGAATAAATTAAAACAGGTTCTTACAAATTGTTGTCAAATTGCAGACCTACCAGATGCTGGATTTAATATGGCCTCTGGTTGCTTATTATCTGTCTTTACTTATGCAGTACTCAGTATGAATGATTTCTGGTTTAAATTTTACTCTAACCACTTTACCCAGGATCTTTGGAAGACTGTATAAATTCAACATCAGGAGATAACCTCTCTCTCTCTGTCTTTCCTTCATTCTGCCATCACTACCCTACATTTTGGTTATCTTTTCCTTTTCACTTCTAGCAATTTCGGTTTGAAATCTCTGAAATAAAATGTCCTTTCTTCTAAACTGGTTCATTTTTGCTTGACATTCACCTTCTTTTTTTTTCCCTTCCTATTAAAATAGCAATCTAAACAATGTTTCTAAGACCTTTGAAGTAGATTAAGTATTAAATATGCTTTACTTGGCAATATCCCCTTAACTGTTCAAAATCAGAGAAGACTGGGATTAGTGTTTTGTCTGTTGTTTTTTGTCAGTCCCAAGAATCATCCCTAAGTGTAACCTTTGGTTTGTTTTCAGATAATTTTTGTTAGTGTGATTTTGTTTATGCAGTACGTTGTAGTGTCTGCATTTCATCAGAATCAGTGTCTGAATTATTTTTTAATTTATCCACCTTATCCCTTCCCCCTCCTTTTGTTTCTCTGAATTACTTTTAAACAGATGCGCTCAGGTCAGCTTTCCCGAAAGCTGTGGGGATCAAGCAAACGGCTCAACCAGATTTCATCAGGAGAAACTGAATATAACACTCAAGATTCCAAGTGATTGCTGCTTCTACCTTCTCTCAAGGATTCCAGAAACATGTTTAATCTTTGGGTCATTTTAAATGTATGTCTCAACTTTCAGGGACTTGATTCTTAAGTCTGTTGAAGATGAACCTGTGGTAGAGGTATAGTAATAAGCATATGTACTCATGCAAGTTAACTTGCTTGCGTATTTTTCCTTAGCTGTGTTGATGTGGTCACAGCAGAATCTCTCTTTAAATAGCTGCTAAAAGTGTGTTTCAGAAAAAAAGAAAAGATTATCCCAAAAACCCCCAAACCTCCAAATCCCAGCTTGCTAATTGAATTTAAGATAAGTAGCATTTGATTTAAAGCTGAATAGGGCCAGATTCTCCTGATCACAAAGAAGATATTTGGCTCTGCTTTTACAGTACTGTTACTCACCAGCAGTAAATTAAAATACTGGCAGTCGCAGTGGTTGGATTCAAAATTGGGATAGCTGACAGTTACCTTTTCAATATGTTTCTTAGCCCAATGAACGATTTATTGCAGTTTGTTCCTGTAAATGGCTATTGCTATCTTCTTTTGTATAGTTCCAGTTTTAGGCTGTTCTGCAAGGAACACCTGTGTTGCACTACTTGATTATCAGAAAATGTTTAAAGCGCAGACATGAATAACCCTGAAGGAGTTGAAGGTGGTGAAGGATCTGAAGGAGGTAGGAAATACTTGCTGCTGAAAATTATTTATATTGTTAAATAGACTAAGACACATACCAAGAAATCCCATAATATATGTAATATCTTGAAGAAATACAGAGGAAGAATCAGTATCTATATTGGTCACAGATCAACCTGCTTTATTAGTGAGCCATCTCCTACAAATGAAAGATAAATTTCCACTGCAGAGTCATGTAAACAACATTGCAGCACAACTTGATTAAATAGCACCTGTTTCTTTCTTAGCGTGGTGTTCACCAACCCAGTTGTTAGCCATATTTTTTCCCTGTAAAAACAAGCAGGAAAACAGTAATGTATCAGTTTTCAAGATGTGTTTAAGACTTGGGAAAAGAAAATATCAGATCCTTACATGTGCTATATCCAACAAAATAGTTATGGATTGTATGCTATATTTTGGAGAAGCCATTACTGAGGTTTTTTTAGATTTAGTGATAATGTGATGATGATATGAGGTTGTGTATTTTCTTATCATTCTGACATTTTCATAATGTTAATGATATAAGTGATAAAACCCGTTCAGTTGGAAAAGCATGGTGTCAAGGGAAGTACAAGAATTGTTGGATTGCATGTGAAAGTATGTGTGCATGTGTATATGTGTGTGTATGTTTGTGTATGTATATATGTATACACATGTATGTATGTCTATGAAAAGGAGAAAATACCATGGGGTAAGGGGAGTATAGATATAAGGCAGAACTGTAAGTGATTGTTAGGTAGTGTGTTCCCTTTTGACTACCCCTTTCTTCCCTCTACCATCACTTGTCTTGTTGTTTTTATTTATTTATGGAAATGAATGTGTGTTTTATGTCCTGTAAGATATTCCCTGTGGCTGGGGAGCTGTTGAACTACCTGAGGAACTCCATAATGTATAATCTCATTCACTTTTAGCACAGTATTTTTTAACTTTGTAGAAATAGTAATACCTCCTTACCCTGCAAAACGATAATCTTTACAAGTTCTGTTAGTCTCATTAAAACTGTTTTCTCCTCCTCAATTTCTTTACTGGAAAAAAAAAAATCCCTCTTAGTAACTGTTTAGTGTTCTGTGTAAATAAGGTTGCTTTGCTTTTTCTTAACATTTGTAAATGAAGTAATAAATCAGACCAGTGAACAAGTGGGTCTATGCACAGTTGCAATATTCTAAATAATCACTGTGACAGACTGGATCATCTGGAAAGTTAAGAGAAAATAAGAATTATTTCCCTGAGTCACTTGCCAAGAGAGCATAACATTTCCAAAAGTAGAGCAGTGTGAGTTTTTTCAGACTCGATGTATGTAAAAAATCCACATTTCATATTTTCAAATAAGCTATAGAGAAGTGAAAAATACTATTTTTAATCATTTACCTGTCTAGTAAGAATACTAAGGGTACTCTGGAAGTATTAAGTGTGTATATGTGAATGTGAAGTATGTTTGTCCGTTATGATTTCATGAAGGAAGGATTTCAGGGGAGCTCTTCTGAGAGTAGTTTAGAAGAATTTCAGCTCAGAATGTGAGACTTCTCCATGTTATGGGAAGTTGGAAAAAGAACTCATTTGGGGCATTGAGCTGATGATTTTTATAAGTATGCATCTATGTTCGGTTTAAATGCATGTATGAGGTTAAGTGTTTACTTGCAGGGGAAGGAGGCAGGAAAGGATGATGTTTCAGGTTAGCAGAATGAAGTAGAAAAATTGAGGATATAGGTCTTTTGTAGTATTTGGCAAGAGCATAGTTTTTGTCACTTGCAGACGCATAAAGGTTTGAAAGCGTTCTACTGTGGTTGGGTATGTTTATACAACAGTTGAATCATTGTTTTTAGTAGTTTACTATTAATACTGGATAGACTGTGTCAGTTTAAGTAAAATATAATGTAGTTGCAATAATTGGGGACGAGTTTATGATGAAGAGCTTTGACATTTGAGTACCATCATTTCAGTGCATCACAAACATTAGGTGATCTTCACAAATACCTAGGCAGGTTTAAACGTGGACAGTTCTTGGCCCCTCAAACTTAAGGCTAGTTTGTGTTTTCCACAAAGCAGTAGCAGTAGCAGAATGAGGAGAGGGACAGTGAGCTCTGAGCTGCTCCATGCTCTACACAGCCCTTTTGATCTTTTATCTGGTCCTTGAGGATGGGTGGTATATGTCATCACACACTTTGCATTCTTGCCAGAACCCCTATAGGTTTGAAGGTCTGCAATTTGCCTTTGTCTAAAACTAGCTTGAAATAAAAGATAGAGGTGGTAAGTGTGAGCATTAACTGGTATGTTGTTTATTTTTGCTTTAATTTATTAGTGTAAGTCTTTTTAAAAGTAGAAAAGAATGTTTCTGATCAGCTGTTTAGGTTGATTGGATTGCAGTCTGTTATGCAGTGCACTGTGAATTACTGAACTGACTTTCATAATTCTTTGATTTCCTCAAGTCAATGAAGCTTAGGGTCACATTTTGTTTTTTCATGTAGTACTGGTGAAATAAGATAAACTGTGAAATGAGAGAATTCTGATTAGGAATTCAGAATAAACAAGTCTTAAGTGACAGTTGTTTCATAACACTACATTGGTCAATATCTTCTTGGTGGCATCTTCTTACATTTAATTTTTGGAACAACTCTAATGATACTTATCAAAGTTTAATATATGCTTAACTTTGAAGCTGAGTAAGTAAGTAGGAGAGTAAATATATTTATCTAAAGAAACTGAAAACTGACTCGCTTTTCATACCTGTATACAAATGAGATCAAGTAGTTAGCAGTACTGAGTACTTCTCCCTAGCACAGTTTTGAACTTGCATACCAAAGGATGATATCCAGAAGACATCTCTCCTTTATTTCAAATAAAATGTTTTGTTAAATTTCTCTTTATCAATTCACTTATGTTTCTTGATAATATTTTTAGCTGTCTTTTTATCTATAATGAAGAACATCATCTAGTCTGTGTGGTTTTTGTTATGTATGAGCATTCAGAAAGTGGAATGTTTGCCCTTCAAGTTAGCATCTGACTTATGCAAATTATTCTTTATCAGTATACTTATCTAATACTCATAGGTTATCTGGAAGCCACATCTTCTGTCTTCTGTTTACCTTGCCAACACCAGCATAAAAATAATAATCCCAGTCTTAAAGTAATTGCACTTCTCCTGGTGGCTAATACATATTGTGGAAATCAGGTTTTAGGAAGCCTGTTTGATTTTAAAAAGAAAAAAAACAAACCAAAACAAAAAATGACAGTCTCACACACACACACGTGTCACAATTATTTTGCTAATCTGCAGCATTCATATAAACAAGCTGTTTTGCCCCGCTATACCATAGATCATGAATACTATCACAAAACAGGTCTATCAAAGTCTTTATAGGTTTTAAATAGTCTAGTAAATTGACTGCTTTACAAGGATCCTCTTTAAAGTTGTATTTAAATGAAGTGCAAAGAACTAAGTTTGTGCACTGTAAAAATTTTCTGTGGGACTGGTAACAGTCCTACATCAGCCTGCTTTAAGGTAGTCCTGCAGGAATGATAAATTTATTTTTTTGTAATGCACAATAATTAGGTAGGTCTTTCAACTCTTGCCTTAGTCAATGGGAGCTGTATACCTCACTTCCATAGACCATGTCTCCTGCTTCCCCATTTCCTCTACAAGTCTTTCCCAATCTCCATTAACAAAATCATTAGAAAATATACATAGAGCAACCAAATGCTTCACAAAGCTTTTACTGTGTATGTGTATTTAGATGAAAATGTGTATTTATATACGGATTATGGTATGTTAGGGAGCTTTAGAGCTAGGGAGTGGAGTAAAGGAAGTGTCAGCCTCCATCTGCTCCTATACTGAGAGTCTGTATAGACACTTGCTCTGTGTTGTCACCTAGAGGCACTCCTCTCTTCCACTGTTAAATGCACCTTGCTGGCTAGGTTAGATGCTGAGGCTAGCTGCTGTGAATATTGTTTTTCTCTTTAAAGGAAAATTAAAAGGGGAAAGAAAGCAGACATAAATGCATATCCTAATGTGAATCTAAGGCCTGATATAATAAAAACTGTTAGATGAAAGCACTGTATAGGGTTATATTTAATTGGGTGGACATTCAAGCATGTGGTTCAGCGTTCTCTAGAATGGGCATTTCATGCTTTTTGGTTTAAAAGCTATGTCAGTCTCAGCTGTAAACATGACACTTGTTAGTAGTTTTGTTTTGGGAAGAGTAATAGTTTTTGGAGTCATACACACGTGTGCATTGTGTACCAATGTTAGACTGAAGTGAAGGGTTTGGAAGATGTCTTTCCTTCCATCCAAAGGAGTCAAATTACCCTTATCAGTGTGTAATTTCAAAGGAAGCAAGAGTTTCCTGAAAAGCTACTGCAGTTAAAAGAAGAAAATTGGTAAGACCCCTTCTTCACTATCACATTCATCAGATGCCTGAATGCAGAAATGCCTCTGAGTGGCAGCATAGCATGCTATACACAGTTTGAGTCAAGTGCTATT